AATAAACAGTAGGGCAATGTTTTGCCTATAACCATTGAGTTGAGATAAGTGGCATGAATGAGATTTGTAAATCCATTCAATGTGGTTAAAATATCCGCTCCTCATTTATTTTTAGTAAAATAAAGTTCTTGCATTGATTAATACAATTTAGCTTTTGCTAAAATTAACCAACAAATTTCACTCGAGCTACGATTGCTCTGATTCCATCCTTGTAAGGATACATAGGCACGAGACTACGAAGTCATGGCGAGCCCTCTAATAATAAAAATCTCTTTAGGTTCCCTTTCTCTTAATAAAAATATAAAAAACATTTCTCTCTCTCTCTCTCTCTCTCTCTCTCTCTCTCTCTCTCTCTCTCTCTCTCTCTCTCTCTCTCTCTCTCTCTCTTAACAATAATCATTTCTCTCCCTTTTCCATTCAAATAAGTAGAAGATTAGAAACTAATTTAAGCTAACATACATTCAACCCTAACTAAATGGTTCCCATTGAGTACAACGGACGTGAATGGGTGCTAATACCTTCCCCTTGTTTAACCGACTCCCGAACTCAGATATTGGTTTCGATGACCATATCCTTTAATTTCTTTTTAGGGGTTTTATTCGATATTTTATTTTTTTCTCTATGGTAATAAATAAAGATCGGTGGCGACACTATTAAGTACATCCCGCTGGTGTGCCATTGCGTTTCGCGAGGTCGTTCTTATTTTTCAAGGTACGTCACTTATCAAATTTGATTTAGATTTTCTCTCGTCCCTCATGGTAAAGGGTTAGAAGAAAATGAGGAATGAAGTTAAAATTTAGATAGTTTTAGTATACTAATTTTTGGGGTGCGACATAAGTTTTTCTTTTGTAATTAAAAGTTTAGATGAGTGATTGGGTTGAGGTAAAAATAAAACTAAGTGTTTCAACTCTTTTTTTTCTAAGTAGATGAGAAAAGATGAATAAAAGAGACGTTTTTCCATTCGACACCTATTAATTGAGTTGGTTTAACATGACAAATGAGTTTATATTTTACTCCAATTAATATTAATATGAAAGGCTTGCATCAATTTTTCTTTTTGTAAAAGAATGTGAGAGTTTCATTAAATTAACTAAATTGATAGTTATGCAAAAATATTAAATTGTAAAACCGAATTCACATCATCACATTTGTTTACCGTTAAATCGTAAAATTCTAATCAGTGTAATATTAAAATAATTACATGAGATTTTTGTTGCGGGTTTTAGAAATGAAGTTTTTTTATATTTATTTTCTCTTCAGCATAACACGCTTAAGAAAACCACCAATACTCTATTTATAGTGTTTTAGAAGATATTCACTAAGCTAAGACTCTCTTTGGTAAAATTAACGAATGAATGATAAATTAGTGTTGCGAAATAAGCGTGAGTTGTATGGAGAAACAAGTGTGAGTTCTAAGTCCCACATTACTTAGAAAAGTGGAAGTTAAGTACTTTATAAGTTAGATGACCCATACAACAATCACCTTAAGATTTTGGGTGAATATGTGGTGTCTCTCTCAATTGTTTGAGTGAGTCATTGACCTTTAGATTAGTATTTGACCCAATGTGTATGTTTCCCCCTCATGATGACCCATCAGTGGTATCATAGTCTGGTACGACTAAGGGACCGACTCCTTGTGTCGAAAGTGTTCTCGGCATGGTGGTCAAGCGACATGTTCCATTTAAGTTCCCATGATGAGATAAGGGTGTCTCTCAACGGCGGTACAAGCATGTGGATGAAAGATTTTCTGCTTGAGGGGGAGCATAGTGGATGGACTCACACTTGAGGAGAGGATTGTTGGAAAATAAGTGTGAGTTGTGTGGAGAAACAAGTGTGAGTTTTAAGTCCTACGTTGCTTAGAAAAGTGGAGGTTAAACACTTTATAAGTAAGAGAACCCATAATCCTATCACCTTAATATTTTGGGTGAATATGCGGTGTCTCTCTCACTTGTTCGAGTGAGTCTTTGACCTTTAGGTGAGTGTTTGACCTAATGTGTATGTTTTCCCCTCATGATGATCCATCAGAAATATGTTGTGTTAAAGTATGTACTCATCTAAGTCCCACATCGAGTAATGTGAAGAAAAAGGGACTAAAAGATTAAATATAGAGAGTTAGTTTGATTTTATTTACCACAACAATTCTAGTCTTTTGGGTGTATTAGGGATTTGGATAGTTGTGTCTAGAGAGGGTTTACAATTTTTTTGTACAAAAATTATGGTGGAGAGCGTTTTTTATTTTTCCGTCTAAAAATAGTTGTTGAGAGGGTTTTCTATTTTTTCGTTCAAAAATAGTTGTTGAGAGGGTTTGCAATTTTTCGTCCAAAAATTACAAGTTAGTAATAAATTTTTTATTGTGAGTTTATTTTATTTTATTTGTATCAATTATTTGAGATTTACTCTGATTATATTTCTAACAACTGACATCAGAGCAAAGGTTTCGATCAAGGGAGGAAATCACATGTTTGTTATCATCTTATTTGATTTGAGTTTTATTTTTCTTAAACAATATTATGGCTACATTGAAGTTGGATATTCGTTTGTTTGATGGGAGAATGGATTTCCCCTTATGGCAATGCACGATACAAGACTATTTGGTCTAACAAGGTCTTGATTATGCTTTGTAAAAGGAAAAACTAAGTGAGATGAAATATTCAGATTGAAATTCAATACAAAAAAGGCAGTGAGTATAATTCGGTTGGCACTTGCTCCACAGATTAAAGTGATTGTCTTGAAAGAAACCTCTCCAAAGAAATTGTGGAATTTGTTAGAAAGTAAGTTTGCATCAATCATATTAACCAATTGATTGATGATGAATATGAATTTATACTCATTGAAGATGGAAGATGAAGGTAATGTATTTGATCATGTTAATAAATTTAATGAGTTGGTATCTAGAATCTGCATGGGAAGATATCAAAGATGAAGAGCAAACACTACTTTTGTTGGCTTCACTATCTAAATCTTATAAATCATTAGTGCAATAAATGTTAGCAGAGAAGAGAATACTACAGTTAGATGAAGTAGTGAAATCATTGAAAGAGAGTCAACAACTGATGGGTATTGATCAATCTCCTGAAGAAAATCAGGTACTAGTAGTCAAATGAGGACATAGAAAAAACTATGAAGTAAGTGAAAAGATGCGAGACTTTGAATGAAGGAAGGATATGTTGTGTTAAAGTGAGTACTCATCCAAGTCCCGCATCGAGTAATGTGAAGAAAAAAGGATTAAAAGATAATTATAAATATAGAGAGTTAGTTTGATTTTATTTACCATAATAATTCTAGTCTTTTGGGTTTATTGAGAATTTGGATAGTTGTGTCTAGAGAGGGTTTACAATTTTTCCTTACAAAAATTGTGGTGGAGAGAGTTTTCTATTTTCCCCTCCAAAAATAGTTGTTGAGATGGTTTTTTATTTTTTCGTTCAAAAATAGTTGTTGACAGGTTTTCTATTTTTCCGTTCAAAAATAGTTGAGAGGGTTTTTTATTTTTTCGTTCAAAAATAGTTGTTGAGAGAGTTTTACATTTTTCCGTTCAAAAATAGTTGTTGAGAGGATTTGCAATTTTTCGTCTAAAATTTGCAAGTTAGTAATAAATTTTTTATTGTGAGTTTATTTTATTTTATTTGTATCAATTATTGGAAATTTACTCTGGTTATATTTCCAATAGTTAGCTGATAGTTTATAGTTTATAATTGATGATTGATGACCGATAGTTTATAGTTTATAATTGATGATTGATGACTGATAATTTATAATTTGTAGTTGATGGCCGAAGATTTATAGCTAATAAATTAATTGAATTGCTTGACAAATTTAGTGGTTCAATTACATGATAAATTAAAATGATATAAGAAACAATTAATATTTAATTATTTTATTTTAAATGAAAATAAATAATAAATGGTAGTAGTGAATTTTTGTTAAAATAATGAAAGTAAAAGTGAAACAAAAAAATGAGAAGTTATAAAATATAAATTAAAATATTATTTGAAATAGTCTCACAGCAATAAGTTATAAATTAATAAAATAAAAGAAAATGCTAATGAATATATCTGGCATTCGTTAAGAGTTTAAAAAGGTATATTTTGTTTGAAAATATTTGTATTAAATGTATTGAAAATTAAAACAATGAATGTTTTTAAAGAATAAAATGTATATTTTTTATAAAAGACTTGTATTTAATACATTATTTTTTTTATTTACAATATTTAAAGAGTGCCCTTGAAACACTCGTTAGCATGACTCTAAAATAAATTATAATTTGTAATAAAAAGTTTTTTATTAAATAAATTTTTTATTATGATATAATTTATAAACTATAATCTCAAAAAATAAATGGGTTTGAGATTTAATAAAAAGACCTTATATATAAAAGATTATATATAAACTATAAGTGATATGAACATAAAAGCCCAGAAAAAAGTGTTAAGTTAGCAAGATTGACCAAAGTTACAATGGCAATTTTGTCATAGACTTAAAGAATATTTTGTGAATTGTACATAAAAGAAGAAGTTAAACGCAAAAGCAATATGGGAAAAAATTCTACTAATATTTGCTTTTGTTTCCGTAGAGAGAATGATTGGCAGAGTAACAAACTCAACAAATATTTTCTGACACTTTATAATATGTGGCCCCTCCCCTCCCCTCCATTATATGTATAGGTCTGATTTAAGGCACTGCTGCCATGTTCTCTATGCTTGATCGTGCCTTCAAGCAAGTCATCATTGTGAAAAGTGTGCCCAAATCATCCACACAGAACACTCATATTGCAAAAAAGGACAACCCAAAATGACCAATGATGAGAACAATAACCTCTTTATCACTATCACAAAATTATCATATAGTAAGAACAACCTTTGCAATTTCTCCTTTAACACAAACAAACTGGACATACGTGTCATTTTTTCATTTACATAATGCATAACATAAGTCTCAACTTTGTTTGTTAACAAACTTTTTACCAACCTAAAAAAAAAACATTACTTGCGCCCAAAGTTTCATCACATAATACAACAAGCATTAGGGTTTTCATCACTAAACATTTGAGGAGGAGCAGGCAACTGCACAATTTCACCTTCTCCATTACTATTATTATAACCATAATCAAATCCCAATAATCCATATCCATAACCATAACCATGTCCGTTCGAATTCGTCGTAATCTCCATTTTCCCCTTTCCACCATTCTCATCAACCTTGTTATTTCCACCTTCACCTTTCTGCTTATTCTTCTTACCTCCATCATTTTCTCCTTTGTTCTTCTCTTTCTCTTTCTCATTCTCCTTCTCCTTCTCCTTCTTCGGCGGAACCACCTCAACCTTCCTCTTGAATTTCTTCTTCATTTTCTCCACCATCACTTTCACATCCATTGTTCCCTTCACTGTCACTGTCTCTTTCTCCTTATCTATTTTCACATCATAAACACCTACATTCCAACAAAAACAAAAAATCATCAACAAAAATAAACACTAACACATTAAACCAAAAAAAAAAACATAAACAAACACCTTTTGTCTTTAACACAGTTTTCCGAATTTTCTCAATACATCCTTGACAATGCAGTTCCATCTTCAAAACAGTCGTCGTCACCGGAGGCTATTCCATTTTCCATTTCCATCAACGAATGAATTAAAATAAAATTTACAAACAAATTAAAAGATGTAAACAATATAACATTAGTACCTCTTTAGGTTTTTTCTCTTCCGGTTTGTTTTTGTTGTCTTTGTTTTCTTTGTCATTTTTGAGAATCGGAGAAATAACATCAACTTTCTTCTTGGTCTTACTAACAAGCTTGTCTTTGAGTTTTGCAGCGTCGACGGTTCCATTAATGGTGAATTTTCCGGTTTCTTTATCCACATTCATTTTCTCAAAGCCTTCAACAAGAAGGTTCAATTTCAACGCTTCAGTTTAATAAAAACAAAAAAATAATCCAGTAAATAAAATACAAAAACCGATGAAACAGTTGAAGAATGAAATATTGATAAATTTTTTGTATGAATGGAAGAAGAAGAAAAACCTTCGAAACCGCGAATGCATTTGACGATTTTGGAAGCGCAACCGTCGCAATGCATGTCGACTTTCAAAATGACTGTTGTTGGCTTTGTTTCATCTTCCTTCTTGTTGTTGTTGCTGTTTTTGGTTTCGTTGTTTTCTTGTTTTTGGGTTTGGTCGTTGGTCTTGTTCTTTTGCTTTTGCTGCGACATGAATGAATGAATGAAGAAAAGTAGAAGAAATTGAGATTTGATTAATGAAATGCAGAGAGAGAGAGAGAGAACCTTAGCCATTGATGGTGAGTAGAGCGGTTACAGAAGAGAGCGGTAGCGGAAGAGAATGAGTAACAGAACTGTTTCTATGAATAAAGAGTGGAGTGGACCCCACTATATACCACGTTCAACCTTTCAACATTATTCAGTTATTTTTCTTACTAATATATTTGAAACTAACTCTTAGTTATATTAATTTTCTATTAAAAAAAGTTTTATACTAATAAACAAAACAAAACAAAATAAAATAATAGTTAGTCACAATGAGACAAAATAAGAGTGACTCATATATATATTTATGCTTATGATTTTATCTTGATATAAAGCATCAAAAGATATATTCTTTTATCTTGATAAAATCCTATTAAATGCTCTATGAAAACAGCAGTTTTGTCGACGGCGGATGGCGGAGAGGGGAAATCCCGCCATACCGGCCGCTTTGTGGCGCCGTTATTGCGAATTATGGCAGAAAAACCCGCAATAGCGGTCAATATTTACCATTGCGGCGAGCCCAAAAACCGCCATAGCGGCCATGGTGGGGCAATTTGATAACACTGGAAAACAGACACCAAGAAAACATTAATTAAAACTACATAGAAGCCTACTCAACAGACAAACTAGAATGGAAGGACTCAATAATATCCAGGTCTTTGATAGGCATATTTGAAACAGCATTAAAAGAATCCACAGGAGCTTCAATTCAAAAGATAAGTGAGCTCACGATGAAAATCATCACAATGAAATCAATGGATAAAACATGACAAGGTAATAATGACAATTTAGTTGCAAATAAAGAGTTACTTATTTCAGGGAGGAGGGATACCAAGGTGATTGGTTGGTTCATCAAGAAGAAGAATGGTTGGGTTCATAAATAGGGCCCGTGCTAAAGCAATCCTCATTCTCCAACCACCAGAAAAATCACGTGTCTTCTTTGCCTGCATCTGCTTGTTGAAACCAAGACCAAATAAAATTTCAGCAGCACGCTTTTCTGCAGTTGATGCTGTCACGAAATTTGGCTTGATGCCTTTCTCATTGCCTTTCATACTATATATAATAGTGTCGGTAATTACAACTCATAATAACTAATTATAGCTGATAATGACTAATTACAATTCATAATGACTAATTTCCTATTCTATAAATGTAAATTATTCACAATAACTGCAAAGATTATTTCCTAATTAACATCCCCCCTCAAATTGATGCGGCTGGTCAAGGAGCATCAATTTGCTAACAAGAAAATGATGTCTTGGGCGTGGAACAACCTTGGTAAGAATATCTGCAACCTGCAACTGCGTACTGATGTGAGGAAGTGATATTATTCGATCATCGTAGGCGTCACGTATTGAATGACAATCAACTTCGATATGTTTGGTGCGTTCATGAAAAACAGGATTTGCAACAATTTGGATGACACTTGTATTGTCAGCATAAAGTGAAGTTGACTCTGTTTGGGGAAATCCAAGTTCAGCCAAAAGACCACGAAGCCAAAGTATTTCTGAACACGCAGCAGACATGGCACGATACTCTGATTCAGTAGAAGATTTAGAAACTCTTGCTTGCTTCTTACTTTTCCAAGAGATCAATGAAGAACCAAGAAACATACACCAACCAGTAACAGATCGACGAGTATCAGGACACCCTGCCCAATCAGCATCACTATAAGCGCTCAACTGAAGAGAAGTTCCAACGGAAAAGAATAATCCGCGGTGAGAGGTTCCTTTTAAGTAGCGAATTATACGACGAACTGCAGCCAAGTGAAGATGGCGAGGAGAATGCATGAATTGACTTACTTGTTGAACAACAAAAGATATGTCAGGGCGAGTAATAGTCAAGTAGTTGAGGCTACCCACAAGTTGTCGATACAATAAGGGATCAGGCAACAGATCCCCATCATCACGATGATATTTAACATTAACCTCAAGAGGAGTATCTACTGGATTAGCCGATTCAAGACCGGCCATAGAAATCAAATCTGTAGCATACTTGTGTTGATGGAGAAAGATGCCCTTGGATGTAGAATGAACCTCAAGACCAAGAAAATAATGTAGATTACCCAGATCTTTCATATGAAATGAGGCCTGTAGCTGTTGCTTAAGTCGCTGAATGGAAGCATGATCCGAACCAGTAATAACCATATCATCAACATACAAAAGAAGCAGAATAATACCCGCAGATGTGCTATGAATAAATAAAGATGAATCATACTGACTCTGAGTAAAGGAGAATCCAAGTATAGTGGCGCGGAATTTCTCGTACCATGCTCGAGGTGCCTGTTTCAAACCATATAAGGAGCGTTTGAGCTTACACACTCCTTTAGATGAAGAGAATAAGCCTTGAGGTGGAGTCATATAAATATCTTCTGTCAGGTCACCATGAAGAAAAACATTCTTCACATCCATTTGATGAAGAGTCCACCCATTAGAAGCAGCTATAGACATGATTGTGCGGACAGTTGTCATTTTGGCAACCGGTGCAAATGTCTCATCATAATCAATTCCATATTCTTGCTTGTTTCCTAACGCAACCAAACGAGCCTTGTAACGGTTGAGGGACCCATCAGAATTCAGTTTCACAGAATACACCCATTTGCAACCTATAGGTTTTACATTTGGAGGACAAGTGACGATATCCCATGTGAAATTCTCTTGAAGAGCTTGGAGCTCTTCAGTCATTGCTTTTATCCATCGCACATCTTTAACAGCCTGTGAGTAACAAGTAGGAATAGATATGCTAGAGAGTGTGGCAGTCAGAGAAGTATGTGAGGAATCATACCTGTCTGGTGAATATCTATCTGGTGCGCGGGATATTCGACCAGAACGTCGTGGTTCAACCGGTACAGGATCAGGTGGCAGTTCAGCATCGGGAAGGGGTGTGGGAACCTGTTGTCTGTGTTTTCTGACATATACATGACCTGGTTTATAACGTTCTATAGCTTGAGGCATAATAGAAAACTTAGGAAGAGTAACAATATCATTAATGGCAGGAGAACCACAGGGAAACATAAACTGATTATCAAAAAATGTCACATTTCTAGAAATGCGAAAACGATGGTTAGAGACATCATAACACACAAATCCCTTATGAGAGTTACTATATCCCATAAATGCACATTGAACGGATTGTGCTCCAAGCTTATGCCTTTCAAAAGGAGGTAAGTGAACAAAACACACACACCCAAAAGTATGTAAAGCACTATAATCAGGATGAATTTTAAATAGACGGAAGAAAGGAGAATCAAGATCAATAACTGGAGAAGGAATACGATTGATCAAGAAGACAGCCGTGGAAAGAGCCTCCACCCAAAATCGGGATGGTACTGAAGCTTGGAGAAGTAAGGTGCGTGTTACATCAAGCAAATGACGATTCTTACGTTCTGCCGTGCCATTTTGTTGAGGGGTATTGGGACAAGACCGTTGAGACAAGATGCCTTTTTGTTGAAGGTATTCCTGAAACTCATGAGACATGTACTCACCACCAGAGTCAGATCGAAAAATTTTAACACTTGCTTGAAATTGAGTTTCAACATATGTCAAATATTTCTTAAACATAGAAAACACTTCGGATTTAGAACGGAGAAAATATATCCAAGTAAAACGACTATAATCATCAATAAATGTGACAAAATATTTATAGTGAGCATGAGAAACCACAGGAGACATTCCCCATACATCACTATGAATCATCTCAAAACAAGTGGAAGCACGATTAGCACCAGACGGAAAAGGAAGTGTCTTACTTTTAGCCAATTTGCAAACAGAACATGAAACAGAGGCATCAGGAATAACATTTTTATTTCCCAACAAGCCACTTTTACATAAATGAGACAAAACAGAAGAGTTTGGATGACCTAGTTTTCTATGCCAATCCTCATAGGAATTCAAAACATTATGACAAGCAAGAGACAAATGATTAGAAATAAACTGTATTGGAAACAATCTTCCCACTTTAGGCCCCTTCGCGATCACTTTCCCCGACACCTGCTCCTGCACAAGACAACCAGATCGAGAAAAATTAACATTACAATTATTGTCCACCAATTGACCAACAGACAATAAATTAGAAGCAAGTCCAGGTGAGACAAGCACATTCTGAAAATCCGAGTT